TGGAATATTTTTGTTTGATTGGGGTGGGTGGTTCCTTTCATCATTTGACAACAGTTTAAGAGTTTGTTAGCAAAAAACTTAAAGACTTTAGCAGTAGGAAGTAAGCTCTTTAGCATTCCACTTCGCTTAGGAATTTGGTGGCGCGTGGGTCCTGGTGTAGAATCTTGGCATTTCCCTGCTCGTTCATGGACATGGTTTCCCAGTTGTATCTTCTGTCAACGAGCCTGAATAATTTTCATGTTCTTTTTTTATGGTCACCGAAAACACAGATTAAGAGTACCTTAAAGTTCTTCGCCAAATAAACACACTTTGAACATGTATTATTCTTATTAAAGATTCTCTCTGGCAAATGACAGCTCTAGTAAGTGATCTAAAAATTTTTATGGTGTGGTGTATACAGTGTGGTGTTTTGATACTACATCGGGAAACGAATACCACAATCAAGCTAATTAACATAGCCATCGCCTTACATAGGTACTTTTTTTGTGTATATGTGTGATGAGAATATTTAAGATCTACTCTCTTAGCAAATTTCAAGTATACAATGTTATTTACTGTAATCACCATGCTGTACATTAAGTTTCCAGAACTTATTCATCTTATAGCTGAAAGTTTGTAGCAACATTTCCCCATTTTCCCCACCCCCGACTCTTAGTCTGTTCTCTGCTTCTATGAGTTTGACTTTTTAAAATTCCACATAAAAGTGTGATCAGAGATCGTACAGTATTTGTCTTTCTGCATCTGGCTTATTTCACTTAGCATAATGTCCTCCAGCTTCATCCACATTGTCACAGATTGTAGGATTTCTTTCTTTTTAAAGGCTGAATAATATTCAAGTGTGTGTGTGTGTCTATCACCTTTTCTTTATCCATATATCCTTCAAGGGACACTTAGATTGCTTCCATATCTTAGGTATTATGAATGATGATGCAATGAGCATGGGAGTACATATATATTTTTTGATATATTGATTTTATTTCCTTTGGATGTATACCCAGAAGTGTGATTGCTGCACCATGTGATAGTTTTTTTTTTTTCTTTTTAAGCACCTTTATACTGTTTTCTGTAATGGCTGTACCAATTTACATTCCTGTCAACAATATGTAAAGGTTCCTTTTTCTCTACAAGATTTTTAACACTTGTTATCTTTTGACTTTTTGATAATAGCCATTTTAAGTGTGAGGTTTTAATTTGCAAACTAGTAAGTAGATGGGATTCAGACCTAAGAAGGTCTGACCCAGAGGCTGCATGCTAACCATTGTTAGACAGTGCCTCCTCCTTGAGGGGTCTATATGCAGGGAGTTGCTGTTTTGTTTGGGAGGTGGCAATAGAAGGCCTTCAAAGGCTTTCCAACTTTTAAGAGACTGGGACTTTAAGCTGAGTGATATGTCAGGGTGTCAGGCCTACCTTGGTCCTCATATCTACCATCCTCCAACCAGGGCCTTTTTATCTCCACCTATTAGACAGGCTCCCTCTCCAAGACTGGTTATTACTTGAAGCCTACAGCAGCGAGCTTCAAATTTTAGCATATATCCATCACTTTGGAAGGTGAGTAGGGTGCGTTTTTTAAAAAAATCAGATTCCTGTGGTAGAGCCAGAGCTCTGTTTCACTTTGGGGGATAGTGTAGTAGTTATTTAAGAGGCTTTAGCACATCCCGAAGCATAGCATCACGTCATCCTTGTTACTTGTTGGCACCTGTCTTCTGGTCTTAGTTTAGGTAATAGGATTCTGCTTTATTCAAGATCCTGTCCTGGGTCTATTAACTGTATTTCTACCTTAACCCTTTCCTGAGACTGTATTCCAATAACATGTCTTATTCTCTAGTTTCTAGAACGGGGCCTGGCATCATACCTGCCAGCCTTCCTTCCAGGGATCAGGTTCTGCTGCCTGTTGGAGGGCTTATCCGACCTGTCAGATAACTTCGCTTTCCAAGTACTTTCCTGTTTTCCTTTGCTGGGCTTTCTCCAGCTATTGAAACTCCTGCCACCTTTACTGTACTTCCTTAGTGGCCTTGCCACCTGAGGTTGTAGTTGAGGCCACCTTTTAATCCATGTCTAAGGTAAGGGGCAGAAGATTTTTAATTCTACCATTTGTCTGGCCTTCTCTCCTTTTTTTTTTTTAATTTCAGGGTATTATGAGGGTACACACATTTGGGTTACATTTTATATCATTGCCTCTCCCTAGCAGGGAATCAGCCTTCTCTCCCTTTGAGGTCTTTTGGCTATATGCTACCTCTGCTCTGGAGGATTTTGCATTTATTTCATCCTGGTTTGGGGCTTCTTAGAGTTTCCTTTGTAACATGATAGAGCTAGGTAGACAGTTGGATGCAAAGGGTTATTCACCCCTGCCGCTCGCTTTACTTGCTGTTGTGGGTGTGTTCCTGCTCCGTGTGCTGTGTCCTCTGGGGCACTGAGCACACCGTAGGTGACATGGTAGCACAAAGGTATAATGAGACAGTGTGTGCTGGTCTCCAATGAAGAGTGACCGTGGACAGCATCCATTCATTCATTCACCCACCCATAATACAAATAATTATTGAGCATCTACTATGTGCTTTCTGGAAGTACAGTGCCAAGTACTAGGAATACAAAGATGAACAAACATGGTTTTGCTCTCAAGGATTTTACACTTTAGTGGGCAGGAGTGAAATAGATACATTCAATATTGTGAGGTACTGTAAATCTTACCTAGTTGTGTGGATAGTGTCCTGGGAACACATAGGAGGGGTAACTTAACCTGGCAGGTGGTGAGGAGTACCTGGGAGACAGCTTCCCAAAAGAGCAGATGCTGAGCAGAGTCTTAAAGATATATTTTTACCTTAAAAATGAATTCCTCAGGGGGAAAAATGGATTGCTTTGAACTCTTCCTGTTCAATGTGTTTGCTTTCTTTCGTAACTTATGTCCCTAATTTGCTTGTGTCCCTTTGGCCTTTGCAGTCTCTGTGTCTGTTATTCTTTATATGATTGTTTCAAAGGGAAGAAACAGTAGCTATTTTTTGTCCATGGAAATTCTGCTTTTAAGGTTCAAAAGAAGGTGTGAAAACTCAAACCATCTAGGTCAGAAGCGCTTTTGTGTTGTTGGTACCCAAAATTAGGACTCTAAGATTACTGTGTGCTCAGAGAGTTTTTAGTAGGAAATAAGGACAAATTTGCATATGAAATGAATGTAGTTATTACATGACAAAATATGTAGATCAGAAACTGAATTAGTTAGTCCAAAACAAATAAGACTAGAAAAATCAGTAAAAAGTCCCTCTTGAATATTTGTTATCATTCAAAGTATCCTTATCTAGGTGAACAATTTTTATTACTGTTTTATGATCTCAAATTAAAAGGTAGTATAGAATTTTATATATTACAAAGGGAAAACATCTTAATTCAGTATTTCAATTAAGTATTATTTATTTGCTTCCTTACCAATAGATTTTTAAATTATTTTTTGTAGGCAATAGGTCTCCCTAAAATATAATCCAAAGTAGTTTATAATGCAACTATTCAGACCAGAGTATGATAAAGATCTCTTTTCTGTAGCATGCTGTGCTGTATTTTGTTAACATCTCTAAGTGTTTTTTTCAATCATGATGTATTAATATTGGCTACTTAAAACAATGTTTAATTCTATTAGGTGTTTGTCTAACCCAAATAAACATTTAAGAATTTTAGTTTCGGCCAGTTGCAGTGACTCAGGTGTATAATCCTAGGACTTTGTGAGACTGAGGTGGGAGGATTGCTTGAGGTCAGGAGTTCAAGACCAGCTTGAGCAACATATTGAGACTTCATCTCTACAAAAAATAGAAAAATTAGCCTGGTGTGGTGGCATGTGCCTGTAGTCCCAGCTACTCGGGAGGTTGAGGCAAGAGGATCACTTGAGCTCAGGAGTTTGAAGTTGTTGTGAGCTATAATCATGACACCACCCTGTGCCTGGGCAACAAAGTGAGATCCTATCTCAAAAAAATATTCTTTTTAGTTTCATAACTGATACCATTGATTATGACCTCCCAATGTATCCTCGTATAGGTGCATTTAATAGTTTGATTTAGTAACTATAGTTAAGGTATCATTTTTAAGCATTTGAAAATCAGAATTGGCTTTGAGGTCAGTCCACTATTAAGTGTTGCTAATGATAAGTAATTCTGAGCACCATTCTAAACCTGTAAGAAATTATTATAGCCCAATAATTGAGAATTGTTAGATCCTTATGAATTATTATTTCTTTTCTAAATTCAGTTTCACTTCTTTTTATAATTCACCAAGCTTGTCTCTGATCTGCACATCCTATGGGAAATTAAAATAAATGAAAGAGAGACAACTGAATTAAAAGACTATAGAGTCTCAGCAAAGCTAAGGATGGGAGTGGAACTGGGCTTTAGGAAAGACAGGGGGAAGCAGGAGCTAGAACCTCCTAAGGTATCCAAGTAGCATATCCTCTCTTGCTCTCTCTCCCCTATCTCTGCTTCTTTGTGTAGTTTTAAAAATCTTTCTTCCCTTTGCCAACTGGCTAATGTGCAGTTCACATGCTAGCATGTGGTCTGAGTTTACCTGTTTACTTACTTTTCTAGCTGTAAGGAGACACATCTCTCCAAGTTTCATTTTCAGATTTCTGAAGAGGACACCATGACCTGGTTTGGGTCAGATGCCCACCATTGGTTGCATCAGTTTGGCCTAGAGGGCAGGGTTACAAAATATTAACAAATGGCTGCTGGGTAAACAACTCTGTGTGTGTGTGTGTAATTATGAGCTCAGCATACCCTACAAAAGTTTCTGCCACATCATTTAGGTAATGCAGTGGTAATGCAGGTAATTCCTACACATAAGAGTTACATTATTATTAAATTATTGTCATACTTCATCTCAGGAAATTGTAGGGGAGAGGGAAGATAAGAGTTGGTTGAATAGGGGGCTATTTCATAAAAACCACGAGAGGGAAAATAACCCTGTTGCATCTAGGACATTTAAACTTAATATTTCTTTCTTTCTTTCTTTTTTTTTTTTTGTAACAGGTTAGCGGTTACTTGGATGATTGTACCTGTGATGTTGAAACCATTGATAGATTTAATAACTACAGGCTTTTCCCAAGACTACAAAAACTTCTTGAAAGTGACTACTTTAGATATTATAAGGTATTTTTAATTTTAACTTTTTGTATAGGTATACTTAATGTTTAAATGGATAACATTTTCTTAAGAATTTCCAAACTTCAAAATTGTGGTTCTTATTTAAAATCAATATAGGCTTTATTAAGAAAATTCAGCTCATAAGAGTGAACCATATGTGGTTCTAAAACCACAATATGTGGTTCTAAAACCACAATATGTGGTTCTAAAACCACATATTAGATACTCTTAATTTTTTTTTTTAATTTTGGCATATTATGGGGGATACTCTTAATTTTAATAACTGAGTTTTGTACTCTAGAGTTAGAAACTAGTTGGTTAAATTGAAGTTAGAAAACAAACCGTTATAATGTTATCGAAATGGTGAGATTGCAATTTTCTAAAACATCAGATTGAGTTCAGTTAATTGAAGTAAAGTAAATATTTCTGAGAAGAAGCATGACTTTATTCTGACATGTATTATTTTAACAAGTCAGTTATGGTATTTTATCTTGAAATGTCTACTGGAAAAGTTTAGAAAACCTAATCATTGGAGTATCTAGTTGTAGTCTTCGTTTGTAATTGTCTAACTGTTCTCTGTCCATTAACTTGTTCTTGCTTAAAAAGAATATGAGTTGAGCAGTGATGATCTGAGCTACTTTGGCTCCTAATTACTGTCTGTTCAGGTTCTGTTTAGCAGCAATCACTGCCTTTCTAACCAAGTCTACTAATTTATTTGCACTAGCTACACATTTATATAATCACTGGAATTTGACAATAGGTAAGTGGACAAAATAGAATAATTGCAGCTGATAACATGACTAGGTTATAGCATCATAATTCATATTTGTCAATTATAATTTCAAGATTCTTATTTTTATAACTTTTTTCTATTATTATTTTACAGGTAAACCTGAAGAGGCCATGTCCTTTCTGGAATGATATCAGCCAGTGTGGAAGAAGAGATTGTGCTGTCAAACCTTGTCAATCTGTAAGAACCATGTATACATTTAAAAACGGTTACATTTTTTCATCTTTTACAACTTTTAAAAGAAGGCCAATATAACTAAAGTAATATTGCAATCCTTAGTTTAAATATAACATTCTTTACATATTAAAAACCCAAACTTACAAATATAATACCTATTGTGAATTATACTGCTTTCATAATAATAGAATTACAATTTTGTGATTCATATAATCCATTGGCTTATTAGGCAGATTAATAGTAGTTCTTTTGGCTTGATTTTTTTTCTTTTAGTCTACCCTGACAAGTATGTAATAAGCTAATAAGAAATTAATGGAGATATAAACAAAATCCCCTCCCCCCCCTTTTTTTTTTTTCGGCATATTATGGGGTACAGATTTTAAGGTTTCAATAAATGCCCATTTCCCCCCTCCCCAAAAGTCTGAGTATCCATCATGACATCCCAGATTGTGCACATCCCCCATATGTAGTGTATACTACTCCCCCCTCCCTCTCCACGCTGCCCCAATCCCTATTACTGTAGGTGAAACCTATGGTGTCACTTAGTGCTGCTCACGTAATACAGTGCTTTGCAGAATTATATCTGGTGCTGTTTTTTTCCTTCTGGGAAACTTACTTAGTATGATGGGTTCGAGCTCTAACCATGGAAAAGACAGATTGTGCTATAGTCACCATTGCCTTCCTTTTAGGTGCATTTCTTTTCTTTGATTTCTTGGATAAGTGGAGGGCAACACCGTGGTGTGCTTAGGAATTCTCAGTAGCATTAAGTAATTTGAGTCTTAAACGGTTTTTTCAAATGAATTCATTTTGTTTCTCGCTTAAAAAGTATATATTTGTTATTTTCACTTGATTACTGGCGTCCAAGATACATGATAGTACAATAAAATTGTAATTTTAACTATTTTTAAGTCATACAGTCTTAGTGGGTCATTAAGTACATTCACCATTGTACATACCAGTTGTAATCCGACACCCGTTATATTTCCCAACATCTTCCAGAACCTTTCATCAGTCCATGGTGGAACTGAAAGTGCTGTACAACACCCAGTGACTTCGTCATTCCCCATCCTTCCCTCGTTCCCGGCAAATTCTCAGCAATTCTACTTCCTCTTTTCTCTCTGAATTCCTACTACTTTACGGGGTAGCAAAGCAGAATTATATAATGATCTGTGTCTCTTCTCTAAAATACAGTTTAGCTGGATGAATGCAAGCGATTTGCCTTCTTGTTCTTCTGATTATCTTCATTTTAAGCACGTACATGTTTCCGATCAGCTGATACTGTGATCAGCAGTATCAGCCCAATTCTAATTCTTTTTTGTTGTGTTTTCTTGCGTTTTTTTGAGAGCACGACGTCTCGTTCTTGCTCCACTACGAGGCCGTGGTGTCAGCCCTAACCCACAGCAGCCGTCAAACACCCTGGGCTCAAGCGATCCTACTGCCCCGCCCTCTGCGACGTCACGGGACTACCAGGCCATGCGCCCACCAGGTCAGTCCCGCCGCGCTACATTAGTTTCGACTAATTTCTATTTAGGTTGTCCAACCTAAACTTCTTCTACTTCTTTTCAGTACAGATCGGGTCTCTGCTCCTCGGCTCGAGCTGCGCTCTCGAACTTCCTGAGCTCATGACTCCTCGCTGCCTTGGCCTCCCACAAAGTGCTAAGGATTTACAAGCTCGACCCACCCACCACCCCAAGCCTATCTTTTAGGCGAATAATAATAACTGTCACTCAAATAATGCCTGTATCGTTGTTTAACCATTCATCCGCCCGCTGCGATGGACTTTTTGACTTTTCTCACCTTTTGCTATTGTGAATAATCCTGCTAGAAGTGTGGTGTACACATACTACCTGTTGGTCCTTTTATCTCTTCTGAGTATATATTTAGCAAGTTAAAGCGTGACCTCATAAGGTAATTCTGCTTTTAATTTTTTGACGGATCTGCCATATTGTCTGTCCACGGTGGCTGTGCCAGTTCTACATTCTAGCCAGTCGCAGTGCTACAAAGTTCCATTTCCTAATTCTTTTTTTTTTTTTTTGAGACATTAGTCTCGCTTTGTTGCCCAGTGCTATGAGTGAGTCGTGCCGTGCTCACCTACGCTCACAGCAACCTCAAACTCCTGGCTCAAGCCGTTCTGGCGCTCTAGCCTCTCGAGTAGCTGGGACTACAGGCATGTGCCACCATGCCCGGCTAATTTTTTCTAGGTATATTAGCTGGCCAATTAATTTCTTTCTATTTATAGTAGAGATGGGGTCTCGCTCTTGCTCAGGCTGGTTTCTGTATTCTTGACAATACTGTTGTTTTCTGTTTTTTAGGCAGTATAATAGCCATCCTAATAGCTGTGAAGTAGTATTGTAGTTTTCAGCAGTTCATTTTTATACATATAAATATTGCTGCATAGATCTATCTAGCATGTGGAATTATGACAAATGTAAACTTTTTTCATGAGTGTTTTATCATGAGAATGAGATGTTTTTAGTTATATTAATCTTCATAGACACAACTTTTAGAAAATTCAAGGATTAATTTATGAAATGCCTTGTTACTATTATAAAAGCATAATAAAAGTTAATATCATTAAAGTGATATTAACAATTTAAGCATTTTTATTTTATAAGTTTTTGCATTTATAATTTAGTAATAGGAAAATTTAGTTGGAAACATATAAAATTTACCAATATCTTATTTATATGACTTAGCAAAAATGCTAAAATATAGTAGATACTTAATAAAGGCATTTAATTGTACTTGTGCATTAAATGGGCTTTTTATTAACCTTTGTCAGGAAAAATAGTTTCACAATTATTGGGAAGTTGAACCTTATCTTGAAATAGCAGTTATTTCTGATTATTATTAATGAAGTATAGAACTAGATGGTGCCACTTTGAAAAGAGGCACCATCTTTTCAAAGGGGAAAGAAAACCTGAAAGATATTTAACATAAAAGATAGCTTATTGATTCCCAGGTTGGCAGACGGATGGATGAAATGTATTTTATTGTAAATTCTGGAGAAAACAACCAATTTCAGCATTTAAAAAATGCTAAAAAATATATTTATTATTTCATTTGAATACATAGAAATACTAAAAATGAATTAATCAGGTGAAATTGACCTAGCAATTGGATTTGTCCTGAGAAATTGAGACAGGGACTAGTTATTTCAGCTTCTACAGTACTGGGTGCCTTTTGTGCCAATACTCTTTTTTCCCTGAACTGATGTTACCATGGAGAAGTGGCTTTTTCTTTAAAAGCTTATTGGAACATGTTTATCCATCTAAAAATATTCTTAGTTTATAAATATATATATATTAGCTCAGCAGAGAAGTGACAGGATTAGGCCAGTATTGTGGGGAGTGGAAGATGAGGAGATGGAGAAGGGACTGGTAAAGTCAGATCAAGTAGCAATTGAATGTAATGTGGTTCAATAATGAATATTTTGTGACGTCCTGTTATGTACCAGGACCTGGGCATACGAGATAAGCTCCGCCCTTTAGGAGCTTGTGGTTTAGTAGTGGAGAGAAACACTAACTGAGCCTTTCAGTACATATGGAATAGCCCAACAACGGAGAAGTACTGGAGTTTACACACTGTGAGAGCTGGGGGCAGTCTGGGAGAGACTCCACTGCCTGTGACAATGAGGGGATGCCGTTTATATTCCTCTTAGGACAAGCCTGGGCTCAGTTCTCATAGCTCCTAATAGGGTGATGTGCCAGAATCAGAGTGATTGACACATTAACTGCCATGTCAGTTGTATTTAATTCACACTACACACGTCTCTTTACCTTGGGAGCCATGTGGTGCACAGACAACTCACGCTGCCATGCTATAGCATACATGTTACCTGATGGGTGGCCCCCTGGGCAAAACCTTGCAGTTGGTTTGTGAAAACCTTACTTGTTGATGTTCTTATTGTTGAAATTAATATTGACAATTTAATTGCATGTAACTCATGCACAGAAAACAATACAAAATAAATTTTTCATTAAATTAGGAAGGATCTTTTTGTTTTTGATGTTTGTATTCTATTTTTGTAATAAAACCCTGTGGCTGCCAAGGAAAAATTTTTTTTCTAGTGTGGCAGTCAATGGTAAAGATCATTTCAAGTACTTTAGAATACTTGCTTCAGCCTATATAATCAACTTTCATACCTAGCATTTATATTGTGCATTACCAATATCTTGACATCTCACTGTTATTAATATATATTAATACTTTTGTGTGCATCTGAAAGAAAGGACATTACTTCGTGACCACAGTGCCATTGTTACATCCAAAACACTGAACAGTTCTTTCTTAATCTAATCTATGTCCAAGGTTAGCACAGCTAACTCACTACTTCACCTGAGCTGATGGAAATAAGATTGAAGTTCTCCTTTTCATACTTGGCACTTTAAAAAAACCATATCCCTCAATTTGCACCCTGATTCCAGAGAAGATTTGAATGAGGCAGATGTCTGCCTATAGAAGCTGGAATCTCTCTATAAACTGAAAGGCCAGGCATTTATTCCCTTTATATTCTTTCACCTCCATTATTAATTGGCCAATCTGAAAAAGACTAACAATACCCGTTATTAGTCTGGGAATAAGAAATGAGCACTCTGGTGGTTGTGTTTTTGGAGATCAATTTGGGAAATGTATCAAAAAATTTAAAAAGGTCCATATCCTTTGACCTAGCAGTTCTACTAGGGATTTCACTTAATAAAATAATTGGATAAATGTTCAAAGATGTCTGTAAAGTAGTACTGGATATTGTAAAGATGTCCACTCTGCTGATACAAATCTATATATTTGGCATTGTTTGTTATATGAAAAAATTAGAAACCATCTAAATGTCTAGTTACAGATAAAGAATATACATTGACCTAGTTCAAAGTCTAGAAGTATATACAATAAAGTGATGATCTGTGTGGGTCGTTCCCTTTGGCAGGTGTAATCTATTTCAGGAATATACCTGGCATTGGAATAGTGTCCTACAATTTACAGAGTTCCAGTGTGTCATTATCTACTCAGAGCATCACTTCAAGGACAGGCAAATAGTTCCTGTAGTTGAAGTGAGTGGCTGACACAACTGAAAACCAGTACCTGTAAACCAGTACCACTTTCCTCTGAAAAGAACTAGGGCTCCTTAAAACATGGTTGATTCTGAGAGTGGAGGAACAAATATACAGAATGAACCTGGAATATCTTGTCATCACAGGAAACAAAAAATGCTACTAAGGATCACTGGAGTAATATCAAAACAACACAGGTGTTAATATCAAGCCAGCACTTAATGGATAGTCAAGTGGCCAAATATGGGACAATTTGAACATCAAAAGGAATAATGGCTAAGCGACTATATTTCTATGCTATAATATATGTAATATGTGATCACCAATTCATAAGATAATTTGTTGAATTTTTATTTACTTTTAAGAAATAGTATGAAATACTACCTAGCCATTCTATTAAAAAACAATCCAACTTCAATAATTTGTTTTTATGAATTTTTCACATAAATCATAACAATTTAAAATATTTTTTCAGAAGATACAATACATGTCATATGAAAACATTTTTTTTTTTCTTTTTCAGGATGAAGTTCCTGATGGAATTAAATCTGCGAGCTACAAGGTATGTATGTGCACTTATTGATGTGTCTAGCGTCTTAGTGAAAAACTCAAAAAACCCATTTCTCCTGCCACCCACTACCCTGTTTCTTTGCTTTCCTTTACATTGAAACACCTCGAGAGGTATTTGTACTCAATGGCTCCAGTTTGTTTTATTTCTTTTTATATGTTTATTTCCTTTTATTGTGGAATGTGTCAAGAATAAAAGTAGGGAAAACCTACTCCCCACCCCCCAGAAAACCAAAACACATACCCATCAGACAGCTTCAGCAGTGATCAGTGTGGGGCCAGTCTTGCTTCATCAGTACCTCGCACCTCATTCTCCCACTTATTTTAAAGCCAATATCAGATAAATCATTTTGTTTATACATTATTCATATACATCTCTAAGACGAAAAGACACTCAAAACAAAACCCCACAGTCAGGGTTGATATTTTTCTGTTTCATAAAGACCTTAATAGTTACTTTGAAACAGGATTCAAATATGTTCCACACATTAAATTTGATTGATGTGTCTCTTATGTATCTCTTTCTTTTTCTAAATGAATTTTAAATTTCTTTTTTTTTTTTTTTCTTTTTTCATATCTAACCACCACATGGAAGAATTTTTAATTTCATAAAAGTTTTATATTTGTAGAAAAATTGTGAAGATAGTGCAGAGTTCCCATATACCCCACACTCAGTTTCCTCTCTCATTAACATCTTACACGAGTACGGTACATTTGTTAAATTTTTTTTTTTTGAGACAGAGTCTCGCTTTGTTGCCAGGCTAGAGTGAGTGCCATGGCGTCAGCCTAGCACCAAGCAACTCAACTCCTGGCTCAAGCCAATCCGCTGCTCAGCCTCCGCACCTAGCTGGATACAGGCAAGCACCACATGCCCGGCTTATTTTCTCTATATATATGTTAGCTTGGCCAATTAATTTCTTTCTATTTATGGTAGAGACGGGTCCGCTCTTGCTCAGGCTGGTTTCGAACTCCTAACCTCGAGCAATCGCGCCGCTCCGGCTCCCAGAGTGCTAGGATTACAGGCGTGAGCCACCGCGCCCAGCCCATTTGTTAAAATTAATAAACCAATATTGATGCTCTATCACAACTAAAGCCCATACTTTATTCAGATTTAAAACATTTTTACCTAATATCCTTTTTCTGTTCCAGGGTCCTACCCAGGGAACCATGCTATATTTAGTAGTCAAGTCTCCTTAGGCTCCTCTGGGCTGGGACAGTTTCCCAGAACTTAAGAACTTACTTTGTTTTTTTTTGTTTGTTTGTTTGTTTTGAGACAAAGTCTCATTCTGTTGCCAGGGCTAGTGTGCTGTGGCATCAGCCTAGCTCACAGCAACCTCAAATTCCTAGGCTTAAGCCATCCTCCTGCCTCAGCATTCCTAGTAGCTGGGACTACAGGCATGTGCCACCATGCCCAACTAATTTTTTCTTTATATTTTTAGCTGTCCAATTAATTTCTATTTTTGGTAGCGACGGGGTCTTACTCTTGCTCAGGCTGGTTTTGAACTCCTGACATTGAGCAATCCCCCCTCCTCGGCCTCCCAGAGTGCTAGGATTACAAGCATAAGCCACCACGCCCGGCCTTACTTTGTTTTTGATAAGGCATTTTTGAGGAGTACTGGTCAGGTGTTTTGAAGAACGTTCCTCAATTGGGATTTGTCTGATGTTTTTTTCTCATGATTAGACTGGAATTATGTGTTTTGTGTCCTGCCTCAGCCTTCCGAGTAGCTGGGACTACAGATGCGCACCACCACACCTGGCTAATTTTTTTTTTTTTAATTTGTTTTAGAGGGTTTTAACATGTTCCCAGGCTGGTCTCAAAAACTCTTGGCATCAACCAATCTTCCCATATAGTCTGTTCTTAAGACAGCAGCCAGAGTGATTTTTTTTAAATGAGATTATATTTCTCCTGTTTATCCTATGTGTTCCATTTTTCTCGGAGAAAAAATGAAAGTCCTTATAAAGTAACAAGAATAAATAGAGTGACTCTATGTCTAGGTTTGCTGAGGACAGAACTGGTTTATACCTGTTGTCTTGACATCCTGTCTGATTTATCATTTTTTCTGATTTTCTTACTTTTAAATAAAATATTATTAACAATTGCATTAAAATAATTTGTGATGGATTTAGTAGACCAAATACTTTGTATTTCTGTCTTCCTTTGTTGTTTTCTCTCTTATATTTGATATTTGTGCCTAAATAGAGTTCTCACTTTAACGCAAAGATGGCCAGTAAGAACTTGTCCTTCTTCTGACTTTCCAGATGCAAAGAAACTAACACTCTCTTTCAAGGACAACATACTAGGTGCCTGCTGATAAAAATAATCATACTCAGACACAAATGGCTAGGGATAGCTACCTCTTTATAGTCTTGGGAGGCAGGGGGAGAAGTGTTGGACACTGCTGCCCATGTTGGTCTCTTGGAGTTAATAGCCATTTATGCTGTGACCTGTGTCATACCTGCAATTTGCCCTAAGCCTCCAGGCTGCCTTTTGACTGGTCAGTGAAATTGTAGGTTTGGCTTATGGGAAATATACATGGGAAATAGAGGCTAAGCAATCCTGCTTAGAGAGAACAGTCTTGCTATAGTGGTTTTATCCTTTAGTAGTTAGTGTAAATTGACAACAGTATAGTTATTTTACTGTTTGGTAATGATTTTTTTTTATTTTCCAATGAATCCTTTTAGCTGAAATAACTAAAAAAGGAAAAAGGAAGTGCATGTTTCATGAAAAATAAAGTATTGAATTTACATTTCTCATGGCAGTTCATCATGATATGTAACTTGCACAAAAGATCATCATTTACTATCCATAAGGGCTGTGGAAATATCACTGACTATATGAAAACCAGAAGACATAAATCTGATGGTAAAAGTCTCAGTGACTACTTTGTAAGTCAGTGGTTATTTTAAGAAAACTGTCTAAAGACAACAATTCAACATGTGCAGCTGCAGAGAGTACATTTACATATCATTCTGGGATATGTGATTTTTCATTTAGACCAAATGACTGTTCTAAATTAATTTCCCCAGTATTTTATTATGAAAATTTTTAAACATATAGCAGCATTAAAGGAATTTTCCTATGAACACATTTAATACTCATCAGCTAGATTCTACCATTAACATTTTAATAAACTTACTTTACAACATAACCATCTGTCATCCTTCTAACTATCTATTAGAACATCTTATTTTTTGGATGCATTTCAAAGTAAATTGCAGGCATTAGTATATCCCTTACTAAATATATGTCATTAACTATATGAATATATATAATGGACTGTATCGAGTAATATATGTAACCTTAACATTTGTACTCCCATAATACGCTAAAATTAAAAAAATACATATAATGAACTGTATAATTATCTACAGTCCAGTATTTTATATAATTTTTATGAAATTAACATATAATGAAATGCACAAATCTTAACTGTGCATTTGCTGAATATTGAAATGCATATACCTGTGTCACCTGTGCTTCTACTGAGAAATAGAAGGTTATCATTACCCTAGAAAGTCCCCTCATATGCTGTCCCAGTCAATTTCCACTCTTTCCTCAGAGGCAACCACTGTTCTGAACCTTTTCCATCATAGATTGTAAACTAATTTAGTTCATTTTTAGTTTCATGTTTTCTTGCACATACACAAAACATCGAAGAGTGAAGTGATAGCTATTGCCTTGTTGTCTCCAATGGCAAAAGAACTTTGTACATGGTTAAATGATGTTATCATCAACTGTTTCAAATGAAAAATAATTTAATTTTGAAAATTGATTTTTTTTATTCTGTTGATGGACTCAAAGTAAAAGTTTTAGAAGTTCATTCTGTTGAAGGAAAACATTTATCACCATTGATGGTGATAAATGCTAGTATATGATAAATGCTGATGGTGAATGCTAGTATAACTTGAGTTCAAAGTTCAGAATTGAAGATCAAATATTTTGTGGTAACACACATACAAATTTTGATAAAAACAATGTTCTAGGTAAAAACAATATCCTTTTTAAATCAAGAAATCTGTGGAATAGAAATGCGTTTGTAATTAAGGTATACACATAATTAATAATTATGTCCAAATGAGCTGTGATATTTTATCAATTAAGATAGAAGTGGTAATTGTTAAAATATATATATTTATATACACACTAAGTAATGACCATGAAATTTTTGAGATGAAGCTGAAGCTTAAAAAAATACCTACTGTGGTATGGTTTTCGGTAGTGCTTTCTTTGCTGTTATCAGTTAGATTTTATAAATGTTTGAGCCTTTGAAGAACTATTTTGTAAAACAAATCAAGAGTCTCTCAGTGGAGTTAACCAGTTTTTAATAAATGATCTCTCTAAATTTTGATTGCAGTTTGTTCAAAATCAGTGGAAAATCTTTTATTCAAAGTATCAATGAATGGAATGCATAAAGAAAAAAAACAAATTTCAGCTTTTAAAGTTTTAGCAAATTGCAATTATTATAACAAGGCTTGTAAACAAAGACCTTGAAATTTATTCCTATAAAAGTTAGGGAGGAATTGAACACATCAAAAGAGGAAAGCTCAAATGTTACTTAATCTAATTCTGAAATTTTAATTCTGAAATATTGTAATTATGTTTTGGAGTATATTTACTTGGGGGAAGAATCTCCTTTTTTTTTTTTTTGAGACAGAGTCTCACTTTTGTTGCCCAGGCTACAGTGAGTGCCATGGCGTCAGCCCCTAGCTCACAGCAACCTCAAACTCCTGGGCTCAAGTGATCCTCCTGCCTCAGCCTCCCGAGTAGCTGGGACTACAGGCATGCACCACTATGCCGGCTAATTTTTTGTATATATACTTTTAGTTGGTCAATTAATTTCTTTCTATTTTTAGTGGAGACGGGGTCTCGCTCAGGCTGGTTTCGAACTCCTGACCTCGAGCAATCCGCCCGCCTTGGCCTCCCAGAGTGCTAGGATTACAGGCGTGAGCCACCGCGCCCGGCCAAGAATCTCCTTTTGATAGAACTCTTGTTCTTAATTGGATAACATTTATATTCTGAACTGAAATGGAATGAAATTGAGAAACTTTGCAGTTTTGTAATATCTAAATTCGGCAAATAAAAAGACTCAACTTATTTGATGAGTTTTCTCTTAAAATATTTATTGAAGAAATGTAGTTTACCAACAGAGAGAATATTTTCTCAATTAAAAAATGTCTGCAGAGAAGAGTCAGTTGAAGGTATTGATAATTTCAAATTGATTAACCATAAAATATAACTTTGAAAAAGATCTGTAAATTAATTAACTATAAAATATAACTTTGAAAAAGATTATGGGTAATTTTGTGAACAATTAAAAATAATAAGAACATATTAGGAAAATGTTCAGGAAAATGCCAGTGCCATGGTATTGAGACAGATGTGACCAAGAAGCTGATTAAATTATCATATAGGAACTATTAAATTATTGAAGAAGATTAATTTTTAAGAGTAGTAAGATTATTAATGTTAAATTATTATTTTATATCTTATTTGTTAAGATGATATTATAAGATTAAGATTAAATTATTAAATAAGAATAGTTTTTTTGTTTAGCTTATTTTTAACCAGATAATCACAATAATAAGTTTTTTAAATTTTTGTTTCAGTATACACAGGTATATGTTATTTTTTGAACAAGTTTTGTTCATTTTTGATATGCGTTTTTAACTTTTTATTTTGAAATAATTTTCAACTTACAGAAAAGTTGCAACAGTAGTATAAAGACATTTTGTACACTCTTTCTGCAGATTCACTAAGTTTTCATATTTTGCCACTTTTGTTTTATCATGTTTTTTCTGCATACACACTATTTTCTGAGTCTTTTGATGTTTGGTTGAATACATCATATCCCTTTACCCTTTAATACTTAATTATGTCTGAAAGAATTTTATTTTTGAAAATAGCTTTTGATTGAGCTATCATATATGCCAACCAGTATAATGAAATAAAGTTATTCAACAAATAAATATTTCAAAAAATTTATATCATTTTATTTATTTTAGTGTTCCCTTTAAAAATTACATGATTTCAGTTATTTTAGTGTTCAATTATTTTAGTGTCCTAGTTTAGACAGTCATTTGTATGGTCATCTTAACAATACGACTACAGTAGGTACTTACTAAATATTCGTTGAGTGAGTTTGTGGCCTGCTTATTCCTGTGTTGTCTTCTAGCTGTATGATGGTGATGACTGGTGTGTTTTGAGATCTCCTGAACCACCCTCGCTTCCCCTGTGCCATGTACAGATCTAGTGGAATATATATATATATATATGTATATATAAAGTGACTTAGATATTGAGAAGAAATGTGGTTGTTAAAGCAGATACTTTAAAAACCTAAAGATGTTGGAATACTTTTTATAAGACTAGGTAGGTTCCAGGGTGTTCTTAGAATTATGGCTTGTGATAGACCTTAGGTACATGTGATCTAGTCCAACCACTTATTTTATGGAAGAGAAAACTGATGCTAACAGTCAAGTCATTAGAAAAGTGGGACAGTGCCTCTTGACTGTTTGCCTCATGACTTCCTTATACCTGGAAGATTTTCTTAGTGGACATTTTAGTAATTAGCTATTAGAACTATATTCTTTATTTCGTGAACATAATAGTAAATTATGCTTTCCAACATAAACACAAGGCAAAGCCCTTTACTTATTTTTTAGCTTCAGGAGGAATGTGAGAGCTTAGTTTTTTTTGTTCTTTTTTTTTTTTTAAGTTTTGATGCTAAGGTGATGGTGCCAGGTATAAAAAAAAGCCTCAAATCACTTCTAATTAAAAAAAAAGTTTTAAAAATACAATAAGTTATATGCTATTTAATCCCTTTTTCATTTTAGTATTCTGAAGAAGCCAATAATCTCCTTGAAGAATGTGAACAAGCTGAACGACTTGGAGCAGTGGATGAATCTCTGAGGTTTGATTTTGTTTTTTTCTAGCAGTATTTTATGTTTTTTTAATGTCACATGTTAACTTAAAAAAAGAGTAACATTATTTTCTTGTTTGAAGTGAGGAGACACAGAAGGCTGTTCTTCAGTGGACCAAGCATGATGATTCTTCAGACAACTTCTGTGAAGCTGATGGTATAACATTTTTTTATGTATGCGTTATGTTTGAAATTATGCCTAAGGAAAAGGTTTAAATTATTTTTAAAAATTCAGTTTGTAATAGTTTGGCAGTACTTCAAAAAGCTAAATATAAAATTACCATATGACCTAACAGTTCCATTCCTAGGTATATACTGAAAAGAATTAAAGACACGGACTCAAACTGATATTGGTACACCAGTGTTCATTACAGCATTATTCACACTAGCTAAAAGGTAGAAATAACCCATTTGTCCATCACAAGATGAATGGATGAACAAAACATACAATGGAATACTATTCAGCCATAGAAAGGAAGGAAGTTCTGATATTTGCTATAACATGGATGAACCTTGAAAACATGCTAAGTAAAGTAAGCCAAGCACAAAAAGACAAGTATTAAATGATTCTACTTATATGAAATATCTAGAATAGATAAATTCATACAGACAGAAAGTAGATTAAAGGTTGGAGGTGGGGCAGGACATTATTGCCAAATAGTTACAAAGTTTGTGTTTGGGGTGATGAAAAAGTTTTAGAACAGATAGTGAATGGTAAGGTAAGGGTTGTATAACATTGTGAATGTAATTAATGCCACTTAATTGTACACTTAAATATGATTAAACTGGTAAATTTTGTTATATATATTTTACCACAATAAAAAAAACCCTTGAAAAAAAGAAAACTCAGTTTCTGGAAAAATACTAACTTCTTGTTTTACAGTTCTGTATATCTAGTAGTTTACATAATTGTGTATACATACGCATTTTACATGAATAGCTATAATGTAGGGATTACAAAAACCTGCTTCTGTTATATTGGTGTTGGATTGTTATATATTTTCCTTAATGTTGGTCTGTGCTGCTTTTGGAGAAGAGAATATGAAGCCATGAGTCTTATCTGTGACATCTAAAGCTAAGCCAGAGTGCAGGTGCTGTTAAAATCTAGGAGCCCTGGAATCCATTAAAACTCTTTGATCAAGACTTATGCATGTTCCCATTCTTCTTTTTCTAGTATTTCCCATTTTCTAAGTTATATTGTTAGCCTCTTAATTAGCTAAACATAATCAAATCAAATAAGTTTTGGCATTCTTCTATGGGTCTGTTGTAGTGGGTTAATGATCTTTCAAAAAATTTGTGAAAAAAACAATACAGATTATTTTAATTAACAAGCAAAAGATGAAGCCTGCAAACCCCATAAAAGAGAAAATATGTATTTTTAATTCTGTGGCTTCTTTTGGGCGGGGGGAGGGGAGAGTGCTCCTTAATGGAAACTATGAGTGTGTTTTGGCATGTACATATCTATAATCCCTTATTTATAATTCTAAAATCTGAAAACTCTGAAAAAATGAACATTTCTCCTCTAAGTTTAGCACAGACCCATTTAGTGTGAATATTCATGTGTTTCACTGCAGAAATATTTATGCTTTATTAAAGTTTGCTGCCCCAGGCCCAGCTGGAGTAATATTCAATATATATTGGATAAACTGCATTACCTTTGTGAAATCTGAAAAGTTCTTAATTCGAAAGCACATGTGTTCCCATGGGTGTTGGATGAGGGGTAAGGATTTTTTGGCCTTAAACATTGTTGTGTGAAATAAAACTAAATTTGTAACATGCAGCAGATTTTTTTTAGGCTTGTGGTGTTAGAAAAAAGGATGGTGATACTTTAACTTCCATTAACAAAATATCCTTTTGAGACTCTACAACGTGTAGCACCAACTGAGAAACCAATAGACTTTGGTGAATCACTTGCCCATTTGTATTATTAATAGTTTTTTCTGTTAAAGGAGGGTGAATATTTTTTAAAAGGACAGCTTTATAAGGAATAAATAATGTATGTAAATGGTATGTGAAATACAGAAGGTATTTTATAAATCCTAATTTGAAATTTGAGCTTTTGTCATGTGGCAAAATATGCTTATAGTAGCATTTTTAAAATAAGGTTTAAGAGAGATGAAGTATTTATAATAAGTAAAATTATGAGGCAACAAATGTTTATCTCTAGGTACAGTATAAAAAATTTAATTATTTTTTGGTGGTTAGTTTGCTGTCTTAAACAAAGTACTGTATACTGAGAATTATATATTTTAAAAATCAGCATTTTTAAAAATGAATTTATTATAATTTACTTGGTATTAGTTGACATGAACAGTTGATTATCTCTGAACTAGATGATTCCTTGCTAAGTTGTTTTTTAAGTTCTTTTTTTTTTTTTTCCCACTTCTGAAGCACATGGATTAAGTTCTTATATTTACTTTTTCTAGTTATTTTAAATGCCACTTCTGCTTTGGACCCTGTTATTTCTAGATGCTGGCATTGTGCTGCTTCTAGAAGCAATTTTCCTAATTTATGCCTCTAGGGTCCAGCTTGGTGGCTCAGGCATGTAATCCTAATTTATGCCTCTAATATACTATGAATTAGAGTAAAAATAACCAAGCTTAGGGTTTTTTTTTTTGCTTTGTTTTTGAATAGTAAGTATTGTTGAGAGCTTGATGGAGTCTATTATAAGCACCTTAGTGCTCAGATTTTTGTCATCTACTTTGGTTGCTTTGAGGCCATTTTTGCTCACTTCCTCATTCATTATTGGTTCATATTGTTAAGCTTTATATATGGGTAAGGTTAGCTGTAGTATTAAATAATTTTCTAAAGCCACAGAGGACTAGGGGCCATCTTTTTTGTTTTGAAGTTATAACACATTGTAAATGAGTAGGTAATGGGCTCCAGAGCCCAGGCTTCTAAATTGTTCTGCTATGTGGGGTCATTTAAGTTGCTCCCAATTTTCCCCTTTATAAATAGTGCTGGCTGGGCGCAGTGGCTCACGCCTGTAATCCTAGCACTCTGGGAGGCCAAGGCGGGCAGATTGCTCGAGGTCAGGAGTTCAAAACCAGCCTGAGCAAGAGCGAGACCCTGTCTCTACTATAAATAGAAAGAAATTAATTGGCCAACTAATAGATATAGAAAAAATTAGCTGGGCATGGTGGCACATGCCTGTAGTCCCAGCTACTTGGGAGGCTGAGGCAGTAGGATCTCTTGAGCCCAGGAGTTTGAGGTTGCTGTGAGCTAGGCTGACGCCATGGCACTCACAATAGCCTGAGCAACAAAGTGAGACTCTGTCTCAAAAAAAATAAATAAATAAATAAATAAATAAATAAATATTGCTTACACAAAATCATTCTGCATATAGCTTTTGCATATTGAGTATTACATCTTTAGGACACCTTGGTAGTAGATCCTGATGGTAGTCTTGTAAGAAGAAGGTGATTAGTAATAAGCAGTGTATAACACTAACGCTTCTTTGTTTCCCTAGTTACTGATGAACTGCTGTGGTTAATGCGAAAGGCAATGGATATCATATTCTATGTCCGGATAGCTTATGAGAATTGAATTACCACATTTCTTCTATTTTAAAATTTATATATTTCTATTTTTACCATTTCTAAAATCAGAATGTTTTTGCAGCCAGTGTGTACAGTTAATGTGGCCGAGTTTGTTTCTCCTTTTCCTTCCTTTCTTTTTCCTGAAAAGTTGTTTTAAAATCCCTGATGCATTGTTGTAACACATTTCTGGTTCCTTAGAATCAATGAAATATAGTCTTGTATCTAGCTTTTTAAAGCAACTGAAGATGAAAAAGATTCAATGAAACATTTTATTAATATTTTACAGACATTCAGTCGCCTGATGCTGAATATGTAGATTTGCTCCTTAATCCTGAGCGCTACACGGGATACAAGGGACCAGATGCTTGGAAGATATGGAATGTCATCTATGAAGAAAACTGTTTTAAGTAAGTGTCATTTTCATGTAGAAATTCCTATAAGATGTGATTTTTCTTCATAAACAAATGAAGTCATAATGATTTAAAATTACAAATCAAATTCACTTTGTTAAAAGATGTATTTGGACGTAGAAACATACCTATTCATTAATCCAGTTCCCCTGTGGGGAAATATAGACATGAGTTTCAACAAATTTTTTTTTCTTTGAAAGACTTAGAATAGTATTAGACCTTTATAGGAATATTGCAGGCACTTAGTAAATGTTCCTTGAGTAGATTATAGAATCTCATTTTATAGATGAGGTAACCTAGAGCCAGAGAGGTTTACTTCACTTCCCAAGATCGCATAGTTAGTGGCAAGGTATAGATGAGAGTCTGCAAGTCTTAATTCTCTTTTTGGTGCTCTCTACTCTCCTTTCTGTGGCTATAATTAGTTTGCCTGCTTTAAAGTTAAAGTTAAATTGATTTCAGAGAATAATTATAATAAGATAACATTTTTGATTACTCACTGCATGCTAGGTATTGTGTTAAGCATGTTATTATACACGCATCTTCTCCTTTATTCCTTGTAGTGAACCTGTGTTGTAGTGATTACTGTTTTGCAGATGGAGAAACTGAGACATAGGAGGTTAAATGATTGTTCAGTGTCAAAGGCCTAGTAAGTGGGAAGAGCCCACTTTGTACTCTTCCCCATTACAATAGAAGCAGTTGAGTTGATCACTGCATGATTGAGAAATGCTTCAAGTTACCTACATGTAAGCCTTAAGGCTCTAAACAATGTGCTTCTTGGTTTTTGGAAAGAATTCATGTGTGTGTGTGTGTGTGTGTGTGTGTGTGTGTGTGTGCTGTTTTAGAGATTGAGAGAATTCTGGGAAAATCGTTGGATTTCCCGAATATGGGGATAATATATTTCACTTTTTATAAGTCAGATTGATATAAGTATGAAATAAAAAATTGTGCTTGTACCAAACAAATGTCAGCCTGGGTTTTTCTGTTTGTTTTTACTTGAAGAATTTCTTCAGTTTGGAAAGTGGAGAGTTTTGATTATTTACTTATTTCTGCCATGTGTTTCTTTTAAATTCTCTTGAGTAGTATTAGGAAGTCTTGGTTTACTGACTTAAAGGTTTATTTTGCAGGTTTTGTTGTTTTCGTTTTACTGACTTCAAGGTTTACTTTAAAGGTTTTTGTTGTTGTTTTAAATGTGAACTAAAAGAGTCCATGAAACTTTGGTTAGATTGGTATTAGTTTTGGAGTCATTTCTTTACTCATTCATATCCTGCCTCCCATAATTTCTAACAATATAAACAATGTATGAGGCACTAAGTTAATTATATTGAGTATGTTAAAATGCAGCTTACATATTCTGTTCTCTGTCTCAAGTTGTGCAGATTTTTAAACTTTAAATTATGGACATTAAAACAGTCACTACACTTTATTAATAATACTAATGCATATTTATTTTGGGATTTAAAAGCAATTTAGTAACATATTAACTCTCAAAAAAACTTCTACTTTTTCTTATTTGAAAAAAAATACCTTTTATTTATATAATGATAAACTTGGCCAGAGGACAAATTGATGTGTCTAAGATTACCTAAGTGGAAAATAATCTACCCACACTATTTTTTCTACTTTTTAATTTTAATGCTTGTATTGAGTATTTACATTTTTTGCTTATTTGTCTTTCAATTAGGGGCACATTTTGTGCCATACACACATAACATGCATATGTAGACATGTATATATTATGTATATAAAAACATGTTAGTGACTCTAGAAGAAGAGCTTGACTTATATTTTTTCTTCCTTTGAAGAAGTGATTGGTAAGTGACCTTCTGGCTGCTACAATGGAAAAAGATCAGGAACAACTACTATTGCTGGAACAAATAATGGCCACATCTCCCTTAAAGCAATCAGTGAAAGCTAAATATTTTACGATCACAATAAAACAATTTGATTTTGGGGATAGTCATTAAGCAACTTTCTGAGATAATGTCACTTAGATAATTACAACATGATTGGTAACATATTTATGCTTTATACTTTTAATTCTTTTGTTTCTAGGCCACAGACAATTAAAAGACCTTTAAATCCTTTGGCTTCTGGTCAAGGTGAGTTATTTATTTGTATTGTTATATTACTTATCAGCCAGTGAACTTTGATTAGGAGGGAGAGAAGGTGAGATAAATGGCAAGGGCAGTTGAGGTCATGTAATCCACAGTCCTGTTTTCATAGAAGTTATGCCTTGCTCTTGCAGAGAGTGATGTTTAAAATATTTGTACTTGAGTAAGTAGTGCTTTTATAATGAAGCTTATGGTATTAGAATATCACAGGATGAAAATTAGGATATATATTTATTCTTTTGTACATTATTATAAACACATTAAAGTATATGTTCAGTTTTTAAATTTTTGCTCATCTTTCAGATAAATATCAAAAAGACTTCTTAAATTTTTCCCAAAACTTGAAATTACTGCATCCAATGGGAGTCTGATTTCAAATGCACATGTCTTTTTTTTTTTTGAGATGGGGTCTCACTCTTGCCCATGCTGGTCTTGAATTCGTGACCTCAAACAATCTCTTGCCTTGGACTCCCAAAGTGCTAGGATTACAGGCATGAGCCAGTGTGCCAGGCCCCAAATTCACAAGTCTTTATATCTTATTAACATTTTTCATTTTCTGTTTATACTCAAGGCCCAAATGCTGCTTTTTCCACAAAGCTCCCCCTAGTCCTTATACCCAGAAGTAATCTCTCCCTGCTCAAGAAGTAATCTTAGGCATGTTTTGTTTTCCTGTTGTAGCCTTTTCCACTGTGTAGCATTATTTTATTATTATTTGTATTTCTATTGATTTACCCTAATACTTTGAGCATATGGGCAGCATTTATCTGTTTCATCTGATAATAGAGAGCCTGACACATAATAGACGGAGTAGTTTGTTAGATAAATGATAATTGAAAATTGCTCTCCTTATTGAATTGTTTTGTCTACAATAGTGAAAATCACTTGTTTGTTCAACAAATGATTATCCACCATTTACTATGTGCTAGGCAGTATGTAGGTACCAGAGGGGATGTAAAGTTGAAACTCACAAACCTTGCCCAGTCTATAATATACAGAATAGTTTGTTAGAGAAACCATTTCAGTGTATGATTTCAGATTTTTTCGTTGAAAATATATATCCCTGTTCTCTTTGAATAGGTGCTTACTGATAAAATCTTTGCATTTAGCAAATGCGTAAGATTTTCATTTTTAAAATTTATTTGAAAAGATGCTGATTTCATATAGTCAATAAATGTCATCCTGGAAAGCAATGAGATTGCATCACTCCCTAAATGCTGGCAGACTTCTCTTTCTTAGGTTAGGAATGAAAGAACAAAAGCCTTTAAACAGGCTTTTTAGTTTGTACAGTCACATGTGGTGACTCAGTGGAAGCTATCAGTTTAATATCAGATGAAACACAAATTCATAGAAAAGAGGGGATCTTCACTATAAACTCACATTATGATTTGATAAGTTAGCCACCCTCACCTTAAAAATAAATTAATTAACCACCCTCACCTTAAAGATAAATGGGAACAATTTAAATGTTTATCTTTAGGAAACTGATTAAATGACTTATAATATGGTCACATCCAAGAATACAGCCTTATAAAGGTTGCTGTAACTTTGCATTCTTTTAAATTAAAAGTGATCAACAGCACATTGAGGATAAGAAGCAGGTATCAAAACAACATAATATATTTTTATTAAAACATAATTAATATAATTTAAGTATCTATATACAAGGGAAAGGACATTTGCCAAAATGTACATGTTGTTTATCTTTGTTCGGGGGGTGGATTATGGATAATTTTTATTTCACCTGTGTTTGTTTTTTTAAAGCATATATTTACAATGAGTATTTTTACCTTAATAATCAAACAATAAGGGCATTAAAGAAAAGTGGGCAAAATGAAGACAGTTTTTCAATAGTAAATAAGCAGTTGCATACAAACTGCTGCATTATGTATTATATAATTTGAATCTTACAAATAGTCTTTGAAAATATTCCAGACTATAATATTTATAATGCCTGTATGGAGGTTTCAAAGCAATAATACAAATCTTTAACAGAAACTGTATTATAGCTTTAGAATAAATACATGTGGAAAAAGGCTCTGCCAGCTAGACAAACATAAGTCTTTAAGATATTTAAAGTACTCTCAGGTCAGGTGTAGTATCTCATACCTGTAATCCTGGCACTTTGAGAGGCCAAGGCAGGAGGAACACTTGAGGCCAGGAGTTTGAGACCAGACTGGGCAACATAGCGAGACCCCTGTATCTACAAAAAATTTAAAAAATTAGCCAGGAATGGTGGTGTGTGTCTTAGTCCCAGCTACTCAGGAGACTGAGGCAGGAGGATCACTTTAGCCCAGGAGTTTGAGGTTGCAGTGAGCTATGTTCACACCACTGCACTGTAGCCCAGGCAACAGAGCAAGAACTTGTTTCAAAAAAGAAAAAAAAAGAGTACTCTCAGATGATGAGTAGTTTTTTAGATTTTTCTCTCCTGTCAGTCCATTTCACATCTAATGTGAGCTGAAAGTCTTTATGCACACTCCTGGAGATAACGTCATTTAGTCAAATCAGGCATAAGTCATATCACTAGATAGAGTTGCAGTCATGAGTGTCTCATTCCCAGATTTTACTTGTGTGAATGAACTGATGGACTAAAACCAACCATTATTAAAAAATCTTATTTTTATGAGAGTACAGCATTATAAAGGGACAGCTGGAAGGAGTTTATAATAATAAATGTTTTGTTTTGCTTTTCAGGGAAAAGTAAAGGTAAGTCTAACTTTTTTATCATGTATTACATATATGAATTTGCTTATACATTCAGGTGTTTATTATGGCAAACTTTATTTTTTCTTCTGACCTCTGAGACTGAGAAGAACCTAATTTTTATTTCTTTATCTAAAATTCTGGTGGTACAAACAGGTTAATGGGAAGTGACTTTTTGTGTCTGGGCTCTGGCATTAGAGACAGCCTGCCTCAGCCTCTGATAATTCAGTCGCATATTTTACCCACGGGAATGTGGAAGCCTGCCATATGCACCTCACCATCTTCTCCACTGCCTCTGGCAGGGAAAACTTCCTCTTCAGTCCTTTACTCTTGAACTCTAAGATCTGCTGGGTCTTATATAGGAAGCTTCTGGGTGTGATCAGAGTGTTGATCCCAGAGCTGGCTTCTAAGGCTTATGCTGACTCTTGGCTGTAGGTATCATTGCCAAGTCAAAGTTAATAATAATGCTAAAAATTTTAACATATGTTAGGTTTACTTTGTCTTCTTGAGAATCTTTTTGCTTTAAGGGTGAAATTGAAATGACTTTTGTTATTCTCAAGACCATATGGTTGACCATGTGAAAAGACTTAATCAGTACTTTAGCTTTAGTCCAGCTATATGAAATTGCTAAAATGTGAAGTATCACTTTTCTCTCCCTCAAAATCCCCTGATTTTTGAACATTGTTTTTATGAATTGATTTTGTGTTATGTCTAAATAACAAAATATTAAAGTCTGATAACATTGCTATTTTATTATTATACTTTTAGTAACCCCATAGCAGCTGAATAAAATATGTATCAGAACTGTACTGTTTGGAAGAGAAATTGCTTAGCAGTAAGATTGTTTTTCCACAGATGCCTCATATTTGTTACTGGTAGAAGCGATTCTGTAATTTTCAGTTTTGAGTAACCTTATTCTACCTTGGGCATTAACCTAGTTCCAGGATATATTCTAACTACATTAGAGGAGGCTACTTTGGTTTGTCAATACTATTTGAAGACAACCCGTCTGTTGTTATCAAAAAAGGATTGTTAACCTGTGGGAGCTATCCTCAGAGAAACTGTCTTATTTATAAGTACTAATTTTGGCCAAATATCAAAAGGTTATTCCTGAGAGCTGTCAAATTAATCAGCTTTCATTCTTGACAGGTGATTATTTAGACCACAGTCAGGTCAAGTTGAGAATAGCTACATCAGGATTATAGAAATGAACTGAAAATTTCATCAGAAGGCTAGGTCTTAAGTAGTTTTATCCCCCAGCTTCCCAATTCATGGTCAGACACTTGGGGGGGAAAAAAAAACTCTGACAGTTTTTATAAGGAATAAATCCATTACAATCCTACAACCCTAAAATAATAATATGTGCCAAGCACTTTTTAAAGCAATTTACAAATATGATTTCATTTAATTCTTTCAATAATCCTAGGAGGTATTATTTTTGTCCCCATTTTTTAGAAGAGGAAAATGAGTCCCAGAGAGGTTCAGCAACTTGGTTATAATCATATGATTTGTAAGTAGCAGAGCTAGGATTAATATCAGGCAATTTGGCACTAGAGACCATGCCTTTAGTTACTACCTGATAGGGCTTCTTTGTTAACATTTTGATAGATATATTATGTACATATTTGTCAAACCCTTGTCAGCATTAAATATTATCATATTTTTGTCTTTACTATAGTTTCATAGGTAAAAGTGGTATATTGTTTTAATTTGAATTTTTTATTATAATACTAGAAAGACTGGACAGTTTTTTTTTTTTTTTTTTTTTGAGACAGAGTCTCGCTTTGTTGCCCAGGCTAGAGTGAGTGCCGTGGCGTCAGCCTAGCTCACAGCAACCTCAAACTCCTGGGCTCGAGTGATCCTTCTGCCTCAGCCTCCTGGGTAGCTAGGACTACAGGCATGCGCCACCATGCCCGGCTAATTTTTTTTTTTTTTTATATATATATCAGTTGGCCAATTAATTTCTTTCTATTTATAGTAGAGACGGGGTCTCGCTCTTGCTCAGGCTGGTTTCGAACTCCTGACCTTGAGCAATCCGCCCGCCTCGGCCTCCCAAGAGCTAGGATTACAGGCGTGAGCCACAGCGCCCGGCCTATTTTATTTTTTTAGAGACAGAGTCTCACCCTGTCATCCACGCTGGAGTGCAGTGGTACATCATTGCTCAATGCAGCCTCCAACTCCTGTGCTGGAATGATCCTCCCACCTCAGCCTCCTGAGGAGCTGGGACTACAGACAGGCACATGCCACCATGCCTGGCTCATTTTTGTATCTTTTGTAGAGATAGGGTCTTGCTATGTTGCCCAGATTGCTTTCAAACTTCTGATGTCAAGTGATCCTCCCTCCGTGGCCTCCCAAAGTGTTGAGATTATAGGCCTGAGCTACTGAGCCCAGCAACTATATAATTGTTATTTATTTTTTAATTTAAAAAGCATATAATGAATCCTTAATTTTCATGGCATAAATTATTATCAGAGCTAGGTATTTTCCTATTCTTGATTGATTTGCTATTTAAATTCTGTATTTTGACCTTATATATAACACTTTATCCATAAAGTTATGAGACTGGGGACACCCAAGTCAAAGCTGAAAGCCTTTTAAAGACTGAGCAGCAGGCTGGGCGCGGTGGCTCACACCTGTAATCCTAGCACTCTGGGAGGCCAAGGTAGGTGGATTGCTCAAGGTTAGGAGTTTGAAACCAGCCTGAGCAAGAGCGAGACCCCATCTCTACCAAAAATAGAAAGAAATTAATTGGTCAACTAAAAATATACTGGGCATGGTGGTGCATGCCTGAGCCCAGGAGTTTGAGGTTGCTGTGAGCTAGGCTGACACCATGGCTCTCTAGCCTGGGCAACAGAGTGAGACTGTCTCAAAAAAAAAAAAAAAGACTGAGCAGCAGAGTGGTACTTAACTGAACCCATACTAAGAACGTCTCTTTTTTCTTTGGAGAAATTGCAAACAAGACTTGGACCTTTAGATTAAACAATCTTTAAATCACTGTTTGGCACAAATTTGCTACAATGCTTTAAAACTTGAAAAATGTACATTTTGCCATTTGTATAATCTTGTGATTCGTTTTTCTTTTAATTTCAGAGAACACTTTTTACAGTTGGCTAGAAGGTAACTGGAAATTTTTAAATAAAATTTTTTTCTCATTCAAGATGTATGAAATTAATTTTGTATCTATAAGATTCACATGAAATTTTATTTCTAAATCACTGACTTTTTTTAGGACTCTGTGTAGAAAAAAGAGCATTCTACAGACTCATATCTGGCCTACATGCAAGCATTAATGTGCATTTGAGTGCAAGATATCTTTTACAGGGTATGTGACGTTTACTTTCATTTACCACACTTATTTTCAGGTATTCTTAAAATTGTCATGCTATTTACTTGAATGGGAAAAGATTGACCTGATTGAATATTAAGCACTAAAAATTCATTCTTAAATGGTAGTAATCAGGAATGTGGGAACTGTAAATACAATTGAAAAGTAAATTCTTAGCTCCCTTCACCTTCTTTTAAGAAGCTGCTCAAAATTCTACACATCTCTTTGGAAATAGTCTTTTGGTGGTTTTTTTGTGGGAAATGAAACAGCTCCTAACAGCATAGTTTGTTATTTGTTAGATATTACTGTATCAGAACCTTTTTATTTGTGTGCCAGTGTCAGGACTGGAGGTTTAATGGGTTAAAGCACTTCTACTGCTCTTTATGCTTTATGGATGATGTTGAAAAATGAGACCACTGTTGATTTTCATCAACAATATATTTCTTCTGGAATTAAAGTATCTGTTACCTCCATGGTCTTCAACCCCTGCCCGTCTGCAGCCTGTTAGGAACTGGCTGCAGAGCTCTGCCAGTCCCCCTTTCCTCCCACCCCATGCATGGAAAAATTGTCTTCCATGAAACTGAGGAGGGGGGGGCTGCACAGCAGGTGGGGAGGGGAGCAGTGGGCGAGCCAGCGAGTGAGCAGAAGCTTCATTTGTATTTACAGCCACTCCCCATCGTTCCCATCACCAATGCCCCCCCTTCATCTGTGGAAAAATTCCACAAAACCGGTCCCTGGTGCCAAAAAGGTTGGGGCCCGCTGTTTAGAAACACAATATAGTAACTTTGATTTTAAATGGCACCTTAAACTCATTAGTAATTTCAGAGTTTCATTTTTTAATTGTGTACCTTGGTTTTATGGATATGTTTATATTCAGAAATTTGATTTTTATTAAAAAATAAAATTGGTTAGTACAACATTGAATTTATTTTAATTTTAAGGATAGGTTCAAGAAAAAAATATTAATGTAGACCTATTACAGGCTAGATTATGAAAAACCACTGGTTGTATTTATTATATATTTTAAAATACAAAATGAAATTAACTTCTATAGTCATAAATAACATGATATAATTAAAATGAAAAGTACTTGATTATAAAATTCAGTTTTTAATATTTAATTCATCTTTCTTCCCAGATACCTGGTTGGAAAAGAAATGGGGACACAACATTACAGAATTTCAACAGCGGTTTGATGGAATTTTGACTGAAGGAGAAGGCCCAAGAAGGCTTAAGAACTTGTATTTTCTTTACTTAATAGAATTAAGGGCTTTATCTAAAGTGTTACCATTTTTTGAACGCCCAGATTTTCAACTCTTCACTGGAAATAAAATTCAGGATGCGGAAAACAAAATGTTACTTCTGGAAATACTTCATGAAATCAAGTAAATTATATATTACAACTTATACATTAATGGAAGAGTAACAAATGGCATCCAAAATTAAGTTTTTAAATATTCATTTAGAAAAAGGAAACTATTTAAAAAATAATTAAAAGCTAATTTTGTTTATAGGTCTTTTTGGGGTTGAGTTTTGTTTTTGTTTTTTTGTTTTGACCTGCATACTAAAAGGCACAGATTTTTAGTTTTAAAAGCCATTATTTTAGTATTTGCTACTTGTATTATTTACATATTTAGTTGAACAAATTGAGTTTGGGGCCAAACTTCTCCCATCCAAGTACTAACCAGGCCCGACCCTGCTTAGCTTCCGAGATCAGACGAGATTGGGTGCGTTCAGGGTGGTATGGCCGTAGACGGGCCAAACTTCTATATTATGCAATTAGCATTTAGTATAAGAATTTGTTTTGGGACATCTGAGTATTGGTTTTACTATGTTTTCTACTCAGTCATATTATTTATCACAACCAGTAAAATGTTGTATTTATCAGGACTTTTAATGTTTATAATGCATGAAAATGACTATTTTGTTTTAAAATGCAGGTCATTTCCTTTGCATTTTGATGAAAATTCATTTTTTGCTGGAGATAAAAAAGAAGCACATAAACTAAAGGTAATTTTATACTATAACTTAATTGTTAGATACAAAGTGATTAATACTTATACAAGTATGAATATAAACCTATATATTACTTATAGAAATTGAGAGTAGAATGATGGTTACCAGAGACTGGGGGAGGAGGGTAAGTGGGGAAGAGGGAGATGTTGATCAAAAGGTAGAAAGTATCAGACAGAAGGAATAAGTTTTAGTGATTTATTACACAGAATGGTGACTATAATAAATAACAATGCATTGTACATTTAATAATTGCTAAAATAGATTTCTACCACAAAAAGATGATTACATATGTGAGGTGATGAATTTGTTCATTAATCTGATTTAATCTAAATTCTACATTGTAAACATATATCAAAACATCACATTGTACTCACAAACATATACAATTATTATTTGTCAATTAAAAAAATAAACAGGCTGGATATGGTGGCTCATGCTTGTAGTCCTAGTACTTTGGAAGGCCAAAGCAGGAGGATCACTTGAGGCCAGGAGTTTGAGACCAGTCTGGGCAACATAGTGAGACCCCATCTCTTAAAAAAAAATTGCCAGACATGGTGGCACACACCTGTAGTTTTAGCTACATGGGAGGCTGAGGCAGGAGGATTGCTTGAGCCCAGGAGTTTAAGACTGCAGTTAGTTATCATTGTGCCATTGTACTCTAGCCTGTATGACAGAGCAAGACCCTGTCAATCAATCAGTAAAAAAATTTTTTTTGATTAAAAAAAGTGTAAAAAATAAAAATCACACTTAATAGTTATACTTAACAGTAAATCTTAATATACATATATATATATCTTGAAATTATAAGAAAAATCAATCATAATCTTTCTTTTTCTTTTCCTCAAAAAAGTTGTCCAAAGTTAGGTCCAGCTTAAGGTATATTTTGCATTATATTCCAAGTAACAACTGATACCTGTGTATCATTGTACACTTTACGGACAGCTTTCACCTTAATGGTCTCATGTGATAAATAGAGCTAATAAATTAAAGGCAAAGGAACCAGTGCATAAGTGGCAATATTAGTCTATTTTTTGCTGAGGAGAATTCCTGAAAATGGTATTGATTAAATTAAAGATCTTTAGTAGAAGAGGGCACAGTGTAATGTTTTATCATTCATCTTATTCACTGGGAATTAAAGGCAGCCAGCATGCTGTTGGGGAAAGAACAGATCTGACCTGATACCCCACAGATTGGGGTCAGTTGTTGCCTTGCTTCTTTTTTTTTTTTTTTTTTTTTTTTTTTGAGACAGAGTCTCACTTTGTTGCCTTGGCTAGAGTGAGTGCCGTGGCGTCAGCCTAGCTCACATCAACCTCAGACTCCTGGGCTCAAGCGATCCTTCTGTCTCAGCCTCCCGAGTAGCTGGGACTACAGGCATGCGCCACCATGCCCGGCTAATTTTTTCTATATATATTAGTTGGCCAATTAGTTTCTTTGTATTTATAGTAGAGACGGGGTCTCGCTCTTGCTCAGGCTGGTTTTGAACTCCTGACCTCGAGCAATCCGCCCGCCTCGGCCTCCCAGAGAGCTAGGATTACAGGCGTGAGCCACCGTGCCCGGCTGCCTTGCTTCTTAATAAGGGTCTGACCTCAGGCTTCTTAATAGGGATCTGACCATCTCTGAGCATGTATCTGCCTCAAATACTACAAATATAAAAATATTACATGATTTTTATCATTAAAGAGAGAGTTCCTTCAAGGGATTTCCAGAGGGAGTCAAGTAAAATTATATTACTGTTCTGTCTTACAAAGCTATTCATAAGTAAAGGCAGGTGGCCCTCAGTACTGCTGGGCTTGTTGTAATTTCACCAAAATATTTCTAACAACCTTCCTCTGCTGCTTATTCTCTCTCTCTTTCCATAATGAAAGAACCTGATTTTATGCAGCTTGCAAACAAAATACTTTTTGTACTCAGTTTTTTGCTGTTAGATAATAGTTATTCTTGACTTCCCATCTACCTCCTACTTAAAAAGCATTCTTGCCACAAATACATACCTCAGTGCTTATATAATCTCTCAGACAGCATCCAGGAACTTGAAAGTGAGGGGGAAGATGCTGCAATAAGACTTCTTTTTTCCTCCTATTTTCAATATGCTCCTTATTTTTAGTTTACTTGCTGGTTTATTGGAAAGTGTTTTGGCATCAGCTCTTTATAAATTGTGCAGATTAGAAATATTTCTCACAGTGTTTTAATTTGATCTAAATTCCAAAACACTTAGCTTTGATAACCTATTTTTCTGTCTTTTACAGGAAAGAAGTAAAAAATAAGAAAACAGGTTAATGTCAGATTTACTTTTTTAAAAAGAAGTTTTTGTCAAGTATCATGGATTTGAATAGTCATACTTATAAATTCATTTTAAAAATCTCATCTCCTTTATACTCTATCAAGTATGGTTAGAAACATAGGACGTTCATGAAAAAGAATTATTTAGTGTTTAATTAAAAACAGAATAGGCCCTCACTTCAAGGCTTATAAAACATTTGAGAATTTGGGTGAGAATTGGTTGATTAGTTTCACTGAATATAAATCACAGCATATAATCACAGCATGTTTCATCATTCTCCTGACTGGCTGTAACTTAAAATGATGACCTAAAAAACTATATGCCCAAATAAGGAAAATTTGTAAGTGATTTATGTACTAATTTTTCTAATCTGAGATAATTTTGGGATATATGCAGGTTATTGGATATGATTGTTATTTATGGAAGTCATAGGATTTTCTCTTGTTCTGATAAATTGTTCTGATAAATCTTGTTCTAGTAAATTTGGTTCTAGCATATTAAGTTCACTTAAGCAAAAGATGGATGCTATTTTATGTGCTTGGTTTTAATTTTATAGTGTTTATGTGACTTTTGTAAGCAACCATGCCTCTCTCTGTACCTGCTCTATAAAGATTTACTCAAGAGCTGTCACATTCGAGTATTTGAATTAACGTAGATTCAAATGTGAATTTTAATAATGTCTACAAAAGCAAGCATAATCTTTTAGAACAGAAGCTTCCAACCTTTACAAGTATGTGAGTGTCTTAAAAACTTTCGAGCCCTCTTCCCCATGACAATATATCTTTAGTATCTATTGATTGTGAAAATATAATCGCCAAAAAGCCACTGTGCATTCAGTAACACTTTTAAAATACAAATTGTGTTTTATCGATCATAACATTTATATCCATTTAGAAATTTATAGTACATACATCTGAGCTATTTATTCTGTCTATATACAATCTTGTTGACATGCGCATTTTGTAAACCCTAATAATGACCATTAAGTCCTCTAGAGGTCAACAACTCATACATGGGAACTTGGCTTTACAATAATTTTATTACTCTGTTATTATTGTTAAAAGGGTGATATTTCTTTAAGCCAAGGTTAAAACACTAGTTTAAAGGAAATAAAAAATCAAATCAAAATCTATCCACAGTAATATTATTGGGTAGTTTTTTTTTTAGTACTAAAATTAGCATCTCTTACTGAACCAAGTATAGAAACACAAGATAGAGAATATTGTTAACATATGATAACAATATTAATAATTTGGGATTTGTATTAAATTAATAAAGACATAAGATTAAGGATCCTATTAACAATCTTTTACATGTTACAGCTGCTTCAAAGCCTCAAGCTGAGTAAAGTATCTGGGGAAAGTCTATCTTTAGAGCACATTGAGATCTGCTTTGAATAGTGGGTTCCAATCTTTGCTGATTTATTCCTATTTTAGATCTGTGGTCCTGTCTCATCTGGTTCAGCCCAGTGTGCAGTTTATCACATTAAAAAAGAAAAATACTGTTATGTTCCCTAAATTATAGGCCAATTGGTATAATGGATATTCTATCTGAAATATATGTCAAATTTTCTGCTTAAAATACTATAAGCTTGGGATTCTACTAAGTCCAGAACAGAGGGAGTCACTTGGAAGATGTAGTTTCCCTTCTTTTTTCCATATTCCATAAGGACATATACTACTTTTGGGTGAGCTGGATGTATGTTGCCATGTTGTAAGGGATATAATACTCTAGTGTTCATGGATACATACATATGTATTAAAAGTATAAAAACAAAAAGGGGACAATAAACAGCAAATTCAGCATAGTAATAGAGGGTGGGATATAGGACTTTGGAGGGATATGTAGGGAGCATCAATTGTACTTATAATGGTTTCTTTCTACAACCTGGTGGTAGGTACATGGATGTTTGCTATATTTTGTATATTTTTGTATGCTAATAATAATAAAAGGGGCTGGGTGCAGTGGCTCACTCCTGTAATCCCAGCACTTTGGGAGGTTAAGACAGGAGGATCTCTTGAGGCCAGGAGTTGAGACCAGCCTGGGCAACATAGGAAGACCCCATCTCTTAAAAAAAAAAAAAAAAATTAGGCTGGGCACGGTGGCTCATGCCTGTAATCCTAGAACTCTGGGAAGCCGAGGCGGGCGGATAGCTCGAGGTCAGGAGTTCGAAACCAGCCTGAGCAAGAGCGAGACCCTGTCTCTACTATAAATAGAAAGAAATTAATTGGCCAACTAATATATATAGAAAAAATTAGCCAGGCATGGTGGCGCATGCCTGTAGTCCCAGCTACTCGGGAGGCTGAGGCAGCAGGATTGCTTGAGCCCAGGAGTTTGAGGTTGCTGTGAGCTACGCTGATGCCATGGTACTCACTCTAGCCTGGGCAACAAAGCGAGACTCAGTCTCAAAAAAAAAAAAATTAGTTGGACGTTGTGGTGTGTGCCTATAGTTTTAGCTACCCAGGAGGCTGAGGTGAGAGGATTGCTTGAACCTAGGAGTTACCATGGTGCCACTGCAGTCCTCCCTCCCTCCCTTCCTTCCTTTTGTAAAATGATGCCCTCCAACCCCTGCCCCATCCCCCTTATCATACTGACGTACAGTTAACAATCACAACAACAGGACACCTCCACTAAGTTACCTTTGTACGTTTTTTGCAGATACTTTAGCTTTCGAGTCAGGAGTGAGGCAGGCCTAAATTCTAAGTTTGCTGTTTACTAGATGTGGGAATTTAGGCAAGTTATCTAAACTCTCTGAATCTCGTTTTTTAATTCATTAGGTATTGATTATAATGTCTATTTTTGGATCTGTGGTGAAGATTAAATGAGATTGGGTATATAAAGATTATGGTATGTAGGAGGTACTCAATGAATGTTTTCTTCCCTTTTTGGTATCTCATAGTACCTTACATAGTGTTAGGCACATAGAAGGCACTCAGAAAATACTTATTAGTTGATTATGTATTTTACCTTAATATTTTGTTAAATTGTTTTTAGGAGGACTTTCGACTGCATTTTAGAAATATTTCAAGGATCATGGATTGTGTTGGTTGTTTTAAATGTCGACTGTGGGGAAAGCTTCAGGTAAGCAAATCTAGCCAGTCCTATTTCTCATTCATCCTTTGCACAAAGAATTTTCTTATTTTTCACTTTTTCTTATTTCTATTATAGACTCAGGGTTTGGGCACTGCTCTGAAGATCTTGTTTTCTGAGAAACTGATAGCAAATATGCCAGAAAGTGGACCCAGTTATGAATTCCATCTAACCAGACAAGAAATAGTATCACTATTTAATGCATTTGGAAGGTTAGTTTGAATGTACTGAAATTGTTTCTGCTAGCTGAGTAAGTAATGCAACACATATATTCTCAGGTAAAACTGGGTAAAGAATATCCTGTTTAGTGAAATTTTTGGAATATCCTGTTTAGTGAAAGATTGTATCACAGAATGATATGATCTTATGAAATATGCATTTCATGTATATAGACATATATAATCATTATATGATGTTCTTTATTTTTATCTATTGATTTTTATAATATATTGATTAGATTTTAATATTCATCTTACTGAATATATTTTTTGAACTATTTAAAAGCTATTTTTTTATGCTGTCCAGTTCTTTTTCTGAAGGTCCTGAATAAATCATATGTTTTTTAATATAGGTGTACATGTAAATTTCTGTGAATTTACTATTATATAAAAAGATCAATAATTCTTTTAAAAATAATTATTTTCCATCAAAATGATTGGAGTAAAAGCATGAAATAAGGAAGTTACATTAAAATATTGAGGTATAGATACATTTCCTTTTAGCCTATCATGTAAAGAATGCCAAGATTTATAAAAATTAACTTATTTTAAGGACTATGTTTCTTCACTTTAAAAAAACTATGATTTAATATTTTGAGCTTGAAATAGTTGACCTTAAAAATTATTTCTCTGGCATCCAGGAACTGGACAGTTACATTGCATTGAGTATTCTGCTACATTTTTCATGGTAGAGAGCAAAGCTAAAGTGTACTTAAAATAAGGAACAGATTTTACTTTTTATAAAAATTAGTGAAAATAGGCCAGGCGTGGTGGCTCACGCCTATAATCCCAGTACTCTGGGAGGTGGAGGTGAGGGGATCGCTTGAGCTCAGGAGTTCAAGACCAGCCTGAGCAAGAGTGAGAACCCATCTCTACTAAAAATAGAAAAAATTAGCTAGGCATGGTTGTGCATGCCTGTAGTCCCAGCTGCTCTGGAGGCTGAGGCAGGAGGATGACTTGAGCCCAGGAGTTTGAGGTTGCAGTGAGCTATGATGACAACACTGCACTGTAGTCGGGATGACAGAATGAAACTGTCTCAAAAAAAAAAGCATTAGTGAAAACAATTTAGTCACACATGTACTACTCTCACTCTTTATAGACTAATAGCTTTGATTCTTGTACATTTCCTAAATATGGCATATCATTTTTCTGTATTCACATACTCATGCATATTTAAAAATACATTTTAATATTTCTATTTATATGCTTTATACTTATGTACTTGAATACCAAGCATATGAATATAGTTATGAATACTTAAAATACCTAAATATTTTTTTCATTAAAATACCTATTTTAATACTTGTATCTTTTATACCACATACATACTTTAATACTATTTTAATACCTATGTACTTCATATTTATTTATTTAAATACTTTATAAGTAACTAATTTCTGGATAATATTATCTTAGTTTTACCATGTCAAATTAAGAACAAAGTATATCAAAATAGATTAAATGGCTTATGCACCTTTAAATTTGTTGAGTTAAATTACTTTTAAAATTTTTGGTGTCTTAAAAAATACAAAGTCAGTAACTTTTACAGAGAACATTTATCTAAGATGGTTTCTGAGTGAAATATTTTTTGGTTGCAGAATATCTACAAGCGTGAAAGAATTAGAAAACTTCAGGAACTTGTTACAAAATATTCATTAAAGAAAACGACTTGAAATGTGCCTGTTTCTGGACAATGGAGGCCAAAGAGTGGAATTTCATTCAAAGGCATAATAGTAATGACAGTCTTAAGCCAAACATTTTATATAAAGTTGCTTTTGTAAAAGGAGAATTATATTGTTTTAAGTAAACAAAATTTTTAAATTGTGCTAAGTCTATGTATAATACTATTGTGAGTAAAAGTAATACTTTAATAATGTGGTACAAATTTTAAAGTTTAATATTGATTAAAAGCAGGATTATCAAATTAATATATGATAAAACTAAGTGAATTATGTTTCAAGTCTCTCAAACTAGTTTTGTGTAAGATGTAATATAAATAAAACTATGGCAAATGTGACATACATTTAATAGGAAAATGCTAAGGAGGCTCATGAATGATCCATAATTAACAACCTAGAATTTTTGAATACACTTAGGGTTGCTAGATTTAGCAAATAAAAATAAGGAATGCCCAGATATATTTGAATTTTAGACAAACAACTAGTTTCTTAATTTAAGTATGTTGCATGCAATATTTGGGACATACTTATACTGAAAAATTATTATGTTTTTGAAATTCAAATTTAACTGGGAGTCTTGTGTTTATCTGGCAACCTGAAAATACATTGGTGTGAGACAAGTCACTTTTAAAATAATATTGCTATTTTGATTGGGTTGTTTTGTGTGTAGAAAGGTACAATTACAACTCAAAGGCATATGAGATTCCTAAACATTGTGAAAAGTTGAATAGATTATATATTTATTCTCATAATACTTTCCCTAATATTGAATAAAATTTTGGGGAAACTTATTTTTATATAATTTCAAATTCATAGAAAAATTTCAAAAGTAGTATAAAGAACTCTTTTACCCAGATTCACCAATTGTTCATATTTATCTTTCATGCTTTCTGTATATGTACAAACACACTATTTTTTTCCTCAGTCATTTGAAAGTCAGTTACAAGCATCATGCTCTTTTGACCCTAAATACTTTAGTGTGTAATACTGAATAATTTCTAAAAATTATTTCTCAGGAAAAAAACTCCCACAAATCTGGAACTATGATACTATAAGCCTTAGAATAAAGAATCATTTCAAGTTCCAATCTAAAGTTCTTTTTTCAGTTTTGTTGCTCTTTTTATGCTTGATCTGATAGTCACAGGGCAATTTATTTTTTAATTTTTTAATTAAAACAATTTTTTAGAGACAGGGGTCTTGCTATGTTGCCTAGGCTGGACTCAAACTCCTGGCCTCAAGCAATCCTCCTGCCTCAGCCTTCTGAGTAGCTGGGACTATAGGTGCATGCCACCATGCCCAGCTTAAATTTAGTTTTTTATACCTGAAGTTCATTTCCTTTGCCTTCCTAAAATTAAACTATACTTTTAGGAGGTTTTCATTAGTGGAAGCTCTTCAATGATAAAAATATTTGAAGGGGTAGGAATTTATGTCACATGATAATTGTAGGGGAAAAGAAATTTTATACCTCAAAATTATGTGCCCTGTTTATATATGTCTTAGGTATAACATGTTGAGATACCACATTATTAGCAAAGCAGGGTTTATTTATATAATGGTTTAGAAATGTCACTTTACACTGCTGTATACTTTTTCTTCTCTTTATCCCTAAGGCTTGGTACAGTGCCAAGCACATAGTTAGTATCCAATAAATATTTGTTGAATGAATGTATGCATATGTATTCAGTATATTTTAAATGAATAATCACAGAACTAAGTCTAATAATATGTGCCCTATTTTCATTTCCCCCCTCATTTTCTCTGAATAGGGCAGGTAAAGAAAGCCATTAACCCACTAAGTAAATCCTATTGGAGACTATGAAGTACTATGAAGTGATCACTATATGTAAAAGTGTAAGGATATTAGTAGTATTATGAAATATGGTAAATGGTTTAAATGGTAATTTTGTGTGTATACCTAACTCATCTTATGCTGCCTCCCTTCTCTTTTTTTAATAACCAATCTTTTTGAAAGAATATCCCCACCTTCACTTTGTTACCTTCCACTTGCTCCTTAACTAAAATCTGGCATTTGTCCTTGTAGTTCTTAACAATCCCTTCCCGTAAAGTCTAAAATCTTAATTCTAAATCCACATTCAGTTCATAAGCCATTTCTTACTTGAATTTTTTCTGCATTTGACACTGTTGACAGGCCTTTCTAAAAATCTTTATTCTCTTGGTTCCTTACATTTTGCTTACTCCTGAAGCCCCCCTTTTGGCCTCTTCACTTATTCCTTAAAGTTATTCCACAGGCATTCATTCTTACTCTCTTGATCACTACACCACTTCTCACTTTGGGTATTTCCAATGCAATGATTCCTAAATCTTGTCTTCAGCTCAGACTTCTAAATCCATCTGCCTGTTGCACTTGGTTGTCCCACAGACACCTGTGTTTGTCTTAGGAGTCATTCTCCCCAAAACTTAGTCTAATTCCCATGTTCCTTACTTTGATTTCCAGAACCATCATTTTGTAAGTTTTCTAGGTTTATTCCTCTCCTCTACCTTCACCCTATCAATTATTGTCTAAGTTCTACTTATTTTATCTTCACCTCTCTGATACATCATTCTTTCCATTTTCATTGCTATTACCTGAAGTACTACACTAACCTGTCTCCTTATACCCAGCTTGTCTCCTCTCTTGCTCTACAACGTTACCAGAGTAGGCTTTCAGATACACTCTGACAGTGTTACTCCCTGCTTAACACCCTGTAGTGATTTCATGAACCTTTAGGAGAAAGCTAAACTCCTTTGTTTGCTGTACAAAGTCCTCTGTTGTTTTTCCCTCACCCAATGTCTAATAAAAACAGACTTAAAATTCTTCAAATGCCCCATAGGGCCAGGCCTCCACACCTTGGTAAATGTTGTACGCTGCATTGAGTGCCCTAGCCATCCTTCCCCACCTGGAAAATCTTACACATCCTTGTAGGTCCAACATAAGCATCTCCTCTGTTAAATCTCCCTTGCTCCATTTGAGGAGGATAACTCCCTCTTTTGTGTCACCACTGTAATTACAACCTACCTCTATTGTGTGTCACTTATTGTACTGTATTGTTGTTAATTTTTAAAGTCTCCTTTACTAGAATGTGAGCTCCTTAAGGGCAGGAAAAGGAACTTCTTTTATTTTTGCATCTCCATAGCATAGTTTTTGGCATATGAACATTTAATAAATATTTGTTGAATAAATTGCTTTTAAAATGACAGCTTTATTAGAGTTCCTACCTTGACTCCAAGTACCTTCATTTCCTTCACTTTGTAGCAAGGGTCAGTAGACTCCCAAGGACTTAATCGACTTTAGGGGGTCAATAAAGCTGAAATTGTATTCAAAATTTGGTGTGTTTTTTGGTGGGTTATGAAAGGGGTATACTGTGGGGAAAAAAGGAATTCTTCTTTCAAAGGAAAAGGCAGCATTATTGAGGAATTTCTTGAATAATCAAAGAATAGCTGCTCATGATTATGGCCTAGAAATTGATTCCTATTTAGATTCTAAGGGGAAGGAGAGGAGTGTTATAAATTATTTCATACAATGAATTTTCTTAGCTTAATGTTTAGATAAACATGTACTAGTAACATATGGGTATTTTAAAGTAAAAAGTATGGTACTTCATATCCAATTGGTATATAATAAGTGTGATATGACATCCAGATGCAAGTAATTGGGAGATCACTAAAAGCAAACTATCATTTGTAACTGCTGATGCTGATTTTTTTTTCTTTTTTGTGGTGGCACTCGGTTTCTTGTCCTTACGTGATAGAAACTCAGTGTAGTCCAATACAAGATTAAGAAAACCAGACCTCCAAATAAAAGCACAAACACTTTTATTTTGAACAGTAGTGTTTTGTTACAATTTAGTGAAACAACAAATAAATACATTCATTGGCCACAGCTATACTTTTACAACCAGTTTGAAACTGGATTATATAGCTGAGAAACACTGTTAAACAATAAAAAAGGGCAGCTATGCATAAAAAAGCCACTTTAGCTATAAATTACATCTTCCATAAAACTACAACCAACTATAATGAGTGGTAAGAGTTTCAAATTAATGGCTACCCAAGTGAAATGATAAAAACAAATACTGCTAATCACTGTAGAATTATTCACTTAAGTAATGAAATTCACTTTTTTAATTAATGAACTAAAAAGGAAGGTTTGAAATTGTCATCATGTGCTTCAGTGCAGGATGAACAGGGAATCGGTAGCCCTTTGATTTTATAAACAACTTCTTTCAAGACCAAATGTAAAGTGCTCCTAGTGCTTTGGAATTTTTAAGCAAAAATTGGGCCAGAGTTTATCTTTCTTTGTCTTTGGTGATGTATTATATGAGATGTGTATAAGGAGACAAATGCAAGAATTTAGGTACCCTAGTCAGTGGTAACAATAAACTTATAAATCCTGAATTTGGAAGAATAAACTAATGCAGCTGAGAAGAGCCAAATTATTTTATCTGAAAATTTTTTTAAAAAGTAATCTTTGTTTATCTGGTCAAATAGGAACATTATCTAGGGAAGCCTTACTAAAAAAACTATTACCTTGAACCCCAAGGATTAACAAAAATAACAGATATTTTCCAATAGCTCTAGATATTAGAGGCCTACCATTATTAGCAAAATAAATAGTTGGCATTCTGAAAAGAAATCTAACAACTGAAGTTGTAATAAAAATATACTGTTATATTGTCATGTTAATGCCAAGGTTAACTTCTGTATCATACATTTTAAAATAATTTGGTTACAATGAGAGAGCTTATAAACAAACCCAAAGTAACATTTATAACTGATAAGTCTATGCTTATGATTGAATTTAAAGTTATTTTGTATCATAAAAAGAAGAAATTTATTTGGCTATGTACCAGACTCCCAAAAGATTGAAAACATTAACAATTTCATTTTTCTTTAGGGTTTCACTTAATGTTATACTTTTGTGAAGTTACTGCATCAGTTATTAAAAGTTGAAATATATTTTAAGGGTAGAAATAAAACAACTTTCTAATCAAGCCATAAAAGGACAGTTGTATCAGTTCTAGTTCTTAAGAAATAGGTCAGCAGACAATTGTATATAGTTAGTCATCTTTAAGCACGTTACAGCTAGCTTCCCAGTGTTGCCTGTTCACTTGGCATCTTTGAGGTATTCAGCATCTACTTCTTTCCATATAGACACTGGCAGAAAGTGCATTTTGAAATTCTGTATTGTTTTAGTCTACCATATTTTTTCTTAGATTTGGGCTAGAACATTCAAGACAGTTTTAATGTAATTCTAAGAGTATTCCAATATTATTAACCTGTGGTTTTATACTTACCAAGTTTGTACGTTTACTTAAGTTTGCTTATTTAATCCTGGAATTAATTTGAAATCAATTTAACTTGGCTTTGTCCATATACAAGGTAACAAGTGTGAAAACTAGAGAAGGAATTATTTGTCTTACAAAGTATTGCACTTGAGTTCACTGCAATAACATACCATGATTTAATTTACCTGAGGACAATTCTGATTCAATAGGTAAGACCAGCTATATCTTGCTTCAGATAAATCAAATGCTTTTGAAAAATGTATTCATGTTTTAACTTAGAATTGTGCATTTTATGAATAATTTTTAAATGCATCTGTAAACTTGTTTAGTCCCAAGAAGTTTCTACCAAAATCTCCCTATACAAAAATCACTATTGCTTTCTTGAATCATGCTTAAACTACTATATGTATCTTAATTATATAAAATAACCACTTGACCAATTCTACTCAAAGTAGCCACACAATTTTCACTGGTATATCTTCCTCTTGAAATTATTGTGGCTTTCCAAAGAACACTGCTGGTCATCACTGTAATGGATTACTACCGTTTGTTTAAAATGATTCTTTGAATAATTTCAGTTGGTATTTTAAAATCATGCTTAAAAGAATTGTCTTCAATGATTACATATTTTTAGATTTTTTTAAAGGATGATACATTTTTATGCCTTAACTCTGTGCACTGTTAACACTAAAAAATTTTTATTGGGTAAAAATTCCATATAGAGTACGCCACTGAATATACAGACTTTGCTTTTCATAGGAAAATTACCTTCCAATTTGGTGTACAACGCAGTATTCCAGTGTGAACACTGGCTTATGACTTTGGGGAATGCAGTGTACTCTTTCAGACAAAGATAAAAGTGCAAATATGCATTTGATGTTCCCAAGTCAGGATGTTTGGAGGCCATCAAGTGCCTTAAGATCTAATCTCTCTTTTCTCCTACTCCAAACTTTCCATTTTACTTCATTTTACTATGGGGAGGTCAAAAGTAACAGCTGTGTTCTTCGCCAAACACAGCCACGTTTCCAGATTTTGTTTTTCGTTGCAACAGATAATGATGGAATGTTTATGCTGATGGAATTTAAACACATTGAATATACACATTCATAAAAAACAATAATCACAACCTGGTAATGGTGTCAGTTTTGTGGTGTTACGTATAAGCTATGGTGATTGTTCATATCTAAATTACTACAAGTAAAGAGCAAGGGAGCAGTATCTGTCATAGGTCCATTCAGGTGGGGAGTGACTGTATAACTGTTTCTGCCACACCCAGTCATGGTGCCATACCAGCCCAAACTTTGTGAATTTGGTAGACTGTAAGAAAAAAAAGGCAAAGAAGCCATAGGACTATGATCAGAATATAAGAAGTTACATTGGAATT